TGGTTCCTAGAGGAACGTCAGGGGACTATTTCCAGAATGGAATGTACACTGTAGGTAGAAGCAGACACCTGTCCCGGCTAGCGGGATCTTCAGCAGAGACCCTAGCAGGGGGAATGGCGAATGAAGGGACAAGAGACACAAAGAATTGACAGCAAGACAGTATTCTGATCAAGCTGCAAAATTTTATTTTTCTCAGGTGGGTTTTATAGTAAGCAGACCAGGAAACTTTCTTTGGGAAAAGATCAGGGGACTGTTGGGTTGCCAAGCAACCCAACCAAGCAACCTAACCACAAAACATTGTTACTAATGGTCACTGTAGCAGAAAGATAAGGAAATGTTATTTTCTAATAACTCAGGACTTATCTAGGCATGTCAAAAGTTTCTGGTTAGTGGCTCCATACTGGACAACAGAAACGTAACTCAGGCAGGCAATATGGCATGGCTCTTGAAATTGTCCTCGGCAGACACCGAGGCCCTAAACACCCCCTCAGCTCTCTGATATCCCTAGGGCTCCCACTTTCCCCTGTCCCCTCACATCCAAGCATTTTCGGGGACCACAGAGCGCACATTTCGTCATCTGGCTTTTCCCACCTTGCTGTGTGACTGTGTGTAAGGTGTGCAGCCTCTGGCCATTGCTCTGTTTGTCCAGAGGGTGAGAGGGCAGCTGGCTAACGCTTCCTGCCTTGTTCTTGCAGACAGTGCGCTAAATGAGACCCTCCGGCTTACGGCTGCCCCCTTCATCACTCGTGAGGTCATGGCAGACCTGGCTTTGCCTATGGCAGATGGGAGGGAATTCTCTCTTCGACGTGGTGACCGCCTCCTCCTCTTCCCTTTCCTGAGTCCCCAAAAGGACCCAGAAATCTACACAGAGCCAGAGGTCAGTATCGGGGGCAGGACTGATCATCTCAGGGACTGTGGGTGTGGGGGAAACGAGCGGCTGAGGGATCAGCCGGTCCTGAGTGGCAGCCTGCCGTGATCCTTGCTCCCTCTGCAGCCTGGGAATCGTCATCTCCACAGTCCCTCAAAGCCGGCCCTGTCCGGTCACTTCCCATTATGCTCAGTTATGACAAGTCTGCACGAGATCCTCAGTCCTTTGTCCTGGTGCAGGCTTGTGTGGAGGGACGTCACACATCACCCTCTTGTTTCAGGTGTTTAAATACAACCGATTCTTGAACCCAGATGGGTCAGAGAAGAAGGATTTTTACAAAGATGGGAAACGGCTGAAGAATTACAACATGCCATGGGGAGCAGGGCACAATCAGTGCCTGGGGAAGAGCTATGCCATCAACAGTATCAAACAGTGAGTCCTCGGGGGGCAGTGCCCACGTGGGGGCAGCATGCACGGCCACAGCATGCATGGCCACAGCATGCACGGCCACAGCATGCAGGGCCCAGCAGGGAAGGGGCCCACTGGTGGGGTGTGGCCAGGGCAGGACTTGGATGTGGTGCAGGATGTAGCCAAGGTGCAGTGACACTTGATACCTTTACTGTTCTGACGGATGGCCTCAGGCTGATTCCAAACCCGCAGAGACTCAACTCCTGTCCACAAATCTGTTTGTGTTTTTAAAAATCAGAAGAGTTCTTGGGGAAAAAAAAAAAGCCACGTTTCTGATTTCCTACACAATGGTCAGATCTGGCAGGAGTGTTCTCCCTGTGAGGGTGGCGTGGGAAAACCAAACGCTGGCTGCTGGGTCCAGCTGGCCATGGCTGTCCATCTGTGGCTGCCGCAGCAGGTTCAGACCTTTGTGGCAGAAACTGGCTGAGCTTCAGGGTCCCCTCTTGGCTGCTGTAACTCCCGAGAGAGCTGAGAAGCTCTGATGTGCTCCTCCTGGGATTCCCCTGACCCTCAGTTTCCAGGGTCACAGACTGCCTGGACCAGGGACTGTGCTATCTGCCCACTGCTCCATCCTGGAACCTTCTGAGTCTATCTCCTCAACTATAGAATGTGGGTGCTGATTGCAGCTCCAAATGGATCAGAATGGAGCTTTCTAAGTGCCCATCCCACCACGTGACTCATCACAGGCTTTGAGAAATGTTAGCTAGTGTCTGTATCATTCATATCATTAGCATGCAGGCGCCATGCCAGGGGACAGTAAGTCATGTTAACCTTTTGATCACTTTCCTCAGAGTAAAGTGGAAATAACCATGGAGTCACTTCTGCCCTAATGCTTAATGTGCCTTCCTCCAAACCACCTTGTCATGCATAGTCAGGCAGTGAAAACAGTGGGTGCCAGGCTTAGGAGCACTTGGAGTGCCAGCCATGGGGTAGGCTGAGGCAGGAGGATGGCGAGTTCAAAGCCTGTTTTGGCCACTTCATGAGCTCTTATCTCAAAAGCAAGAATAACAAGATGATTGAGGTTGGGTCTTGATGTGGGACGCTGGCTAGCACACACGAGGCATGAGGCTCCATCCTCAGCATCACAAAATAAATGCGCCCCCCCCCAAAATAAAACCACAGGTTATAGGCACAGGGAGCCTGAAGCCTAGCATCTGAAAATGTCATCGGTGACACCTGAGGAAGATTAGAGCCAAATGGAAGGTGGTCATGCAGTTTTACACATGCTTAAAGAATGCACAAGGGTGGAGAGCGGGCTCAGAAGTGAAGAGTGACTGAGCTACTGCACAGCACCTGAGTTTAGTTCCCAACACCCTGGTAGGGCAGCTCACAGCTGCCTGTAACTCTTGCTGCAGGGGATCTGATGCCCTCTTCTGGCCTCTTCCGGTACTGCACTCATGTGCACATACATCTCTCCCCACACACACACCTCCCACATGCACATAATAAAAAATAAAACTTTTTAAAAAGACACAAAGTCTGATGAACGGGGCGGTCAGCTGATGCTCATGCATGCATGCTTGGCTAGTGCAGGCTCTGCATTCACCGCTGCATCGGGAACGTGAAACAGCATGCGAGCAAATGTGAGGTCGCCTCTGCTCATGTTTGTGCCCTAGCCTATCAGTCACACCAGGACAGATGCTCTCATTCAGATTAATAACTGTGACAGAGCTTTGCAGTTCCTGCTTCATCCGGTTAAGGGACAGGCAAAAGAGGTGTTGGGTTTTATGTGTTTAGCATGGTACCTGACTCATGGCACCTCAACAAATGAGAGAATTTGTTGTGACCTCGGTCATTGTGAGCTCCCTGATAGGAAGCTCTCAGTCAATGGCAGCTGTGATAGCTCTGACCATTGGGGACACAGGTCGTAAGACCTATCTCAGATAAACTCTCCTTCCAGAGCTGGAAGAGCCAGCTTGCCCTTACTCCCTTTGACCCCCCAGGAAAACCAAGCCCCCAAGTGGGAACAGACCCCGGCGAGGGTCACTTCTCCTTAAGTCTAGTGGGCCAGTTTTCCCGTGGCTCACCCACTTGCTAGCTCCTCTTTCAGTGAGAGGAGAAAGTCCTTGCTGTGTGCTCTGCCTGGCTTTGGGCCCCTGAATCGAGGTGGGGGACAGTGATGAGGCACGGGACAACTAGGATCACGTGGACAGTAGTGAGTCACAAGGCAGAGCTTGTCATTGTCACTGAGGCACTGATGGCATCCTAGACATGGCAGCTTTATGTGTCTCCAGAAGGTGGTGGTAGAGCATGCCGCCTTGCAAAGGTGGCCCCCGGTGACAGTTGCGTCACATGTAAGAAGTCTTGAGGGAGTGGTGCCGGCTTTAATTTCACAGGCACTCCTGGTGGGTGTGGCCCTGGCCGGGGCTGACTGAGATTGCTAGGCTTAGGGAAAGGGGGCGCAGGCTTGTAGAGAGGCTGGAAGACACAGTCTTGTCACCACGCGCATTGTGATGCATCTGGGACTCAGGACTACCCAGGTGCGTGGGTGTGGGGTTGCAGACACGTGGCTGGGGCCCTCCCTCTGGCTGCTCCGCTCCATTATCTGCACATGATGCTGCAGGCAGGAGAGCTGGGGAACCACACTCTGGCTCTTAGGGCTGCGATGTAGAAATGACAGCCATGGGCACAGCCACTCAGCCTCACTCAGCTCGGAGCTGTCCTCGCCTTACCAGGCTCTGCCAAGCCCAGAGAAGCACACAGGCTGACACCCTCTCTCCCTACAGATTTGTGGTCCTCCTACTGAGTCACTTCGAGCTGCGGCTGGGCAGCGAGGACACAGAGGTCCCCGAGTTTGACCTCAGCAGATACGGCTTCGGGCTGATGCAGCCCGAGGAGGACGTGCCCATCCGGTACCGCGTCAGGCTGTGACCTGTGGAGCAGACACGACACTCACCTGGGGTCTCCTGACTTCCCATGCCTTCCTCACTGGCTCTCTTGTTCTAGAATGCTGTGTCTAGAGGAGGGGACATAGAGGACATGGAGAGCCAATAAAAGCTCTGTATCCCGCTGTGAAGACGTGCTTCCAGATCAGGCTGCCTGCGTTCCAGGTTCCCCAATGCCTCCTGTCCCGTGGTACCAGCAGTCCCCACCACCATGCCCCCGACTCCCAGAGCCATTGCTGTCCCTACCTTTAACAGCCGGTGTAGTCCAGGCCTTGGCCAGCGTGGCAGATGTGGGTCATGGAGGACCCGTAAGGATTAGTCAGTGTGTTTTAAGTTCTGTCCCCAGATTATTAAAGAGACATGGCCCTCCCTCTCTTCACGTGGATGCCTGTCCTCTGTCCTTGATTCACAGACAGTAGGTAGTAGGGCTTTCCTTGTGTTAAGACTGGGATGCAGTGTGACCCGGAAAGGCCTGGCCCTGGGAGATGTTTGGAGAGTCAGTCTAGGGAGTCTGTCCCTGCATCCCAGCACACAAACCCCTGCCTCAGTGTACACAGGCCGGCAGCACAGCTTTGTTCAGCCTGTACTTCAAAATTCAACATAGCCAGGCATGGTGGCTCATGCCTTTAGTCCTTACGAGGCAGAGGCAAGCAGACCTACATGAGTTCCAGGACAGCCAGGGCTACACAGAGAAACACTGTCTCAAAAAACCAAAAACAACAAAATCAACATAGTAGCCAGGCGTGGTGGCGCACACCTCTAATCTTAGCACTCGGGAGGCAGAGGCAGGAGGATCTCTGTGAGTTCTAGGCCAGCCTGGTCTACAGAGCTTTGTCCAGGACAGCCAGGGCTACATAGAAAGATCCGGTCAAACCACACAGTAGAGATCATATTATGTGGAGGATTCCTGTGGATGCCCTGGCCACACGGGGCCAACGGTCCCAAGAGTAGCTCTGCCTGGGGCCCCAGCATTCCTTCCTTGAATGAGGTTTTGGCCGAGTCAGCATTGGCACCCCTAGTCCCTTCTGGTCCCGAAAGCACTGGAGTCTGTGCCCCTGTTCTGACTCTTGGGGGCACTGGTGGATGAAGTGAAGGAACCAGACAGCTTGTCCTCGGGCCACACTGCTCACCTGACTCTGGCCACCACAGCCTTTGCCCAGGTCAGTGGTGAAAACTCACCTTTGTGTCCATTTCAGGCTGACTTCAAGGGCACCGTGGCTTGCAAACCTCCCTGTAACTGCAAATGTGCTCACTGCTATTAGGCCTTGTTTCCCAAGTGTCTTTATTCTTTTTATTTTTATTTTATTTTATTTTTGAGGCAGGATCTCTCGGGAACTTACTATGTAGACCAGGCTGACCTTGATCTCACAGAGATCCACCTGCCTCTGCCTCTCAAGTTCTGGGATAAAAGTGTGCGCCACCATACCCAGCATTCCAAGTGCCTTTAAGTGCTGAGATGGGCACAGCAGACCTCTATTTCCATTCTGCACAGCATCCTGGAGAAGATAGGGTGTTATGCCAGCTTTCCAGAGGAGAAAGCCAGCTCAGAGAGGTTAAGTGACTTGCCTGGGGTCACACAGCTCTTGCCAGTAGAGCTCAGCCCACACACCTCTCCTAGAAGCAGATGTTGGGTGGGCAGTCTGTTCTTCATGCCTAGGGCTCCAGGGGTGGCGGTAGGACACTTCTGTTTGGCATTAGAGAGCTGGCAGCCAGGAACACCCAAACATGGTGCAGCTTATGAGAGACAGGCACATCTGTGATGAGGTCCTTTTAACTAACCGGAAAGACAGAAGAGGCCCTGCGCCCATGTGTTCCAGGGGCTCACCCCTCGGAGCAGAGCCAGGTCTGGGAGGCTTCCCTGGCCCTGGGTCTCCAGGCACCCTCGGGATTCCCGGATAGACAGTGTGATTGGCAGGAGTCTGGGCATCCCCAGGGAAACCCATCTCCATGCTTGGGTGACCCCCCACTGCTGCCTGCTTCTTCTTATCTTTGCAGGAAATCAGAGCTGGCAAACCTCCTGTGGGAGGATGAGCCCGTTTCCATGGCAACCCCCAGTTGCCTCCTCACGGCTGGAAGGGGAGGAAGAAAGCGGCAGAAATAGCTGCTGAAGGTCTCACAGGCTTCAGTCCTGGTGCGCGAGAGGGAAGCCCTTCAGAGCCCCATCCTAACTGAATCAGACTAGACTGTCCCCAAGATGCTCACCTCTGCTCAGCCACGGGCTGAGTTCCCTTTAAAGGTGGCGCCTCCTCAGTCACAATCAGGAGGGGATCGAGTATGGGGAAGATGGTGAAGGCCAGGCAGCTCCAGCGGGACCCGAGGAGCTGAAGCAGTGTCACGCATGCCCCCATTTAAATTCCTCCCCCTTTCCATTTCTTTCCTTCTTTGTAATAGGCTGGGAATTTAGCCCGTCGAGTGGTTAGCTAGCATGCACAAAGTCCCGAGTTCATCTCCAGTTGTGCAGAAATTGGGTTATGGTGGTGCACGCCCGGAATCCCAGCAAGGTAGAAGCAGGAGGATCAGGGGTTCAAAAGTCACACTTGGCTACATAGTGAGTTTGAGGCCAGCTTAGGATACACAAGACTGTCTGGAGAAAGAGGAAGGGCAGGAGGAGCTGGCAGCTTAGAGAGGAGAGATGAATTAGCCGCCTGCACGGGCAGATCGCACCTCTCCATTCCGGGCTGTACCCAGGGTGGCAAGACGTGCTACCGTTTTCCATTTGATCACATGAGGTGTTCCCTGGCCGTCTCACTGTGCTTCTGCTGTTCTTTGCTGTTCATCAAATGTTCTCCTTTAAGCAGATTCGCTAGTTTTTCCAGGGCTGGCAGGAGTGGGCCTATATCATGCACGCCCCGTAGAACTGTGAAGAATAAACCGGCCCTGGACAGTGGAGGTCAAGACTCTGGGCCCCAGAGCCTGTGCTCTTGGGTTCGATGAGCCAGTGTGCTGGCTGGCTGAGGCCTCACCCATGTCTCTCCTCAGGTTTCTCATTGGTGAACCCACTGTGGGCGAGGGGTCCAAAAGAGGGGTGAAGTGCTCATGGCAGGGGGTGGGTGGTAGCCCAGTCTCCGGATAGAGAAGCCTACGCTGAGCATCTATCCCAGGCGTCATCAGTTTGGATGCTTTTGTGATTTTTAATAGACACAGCGTCATAGTGTGTTTCATGAGCAGCATAGTGGCTCAGCCTTGCCGTTTCAACACAGCGCTCAAACTCTGTGTCATGCTGTCAGATGGACACGCGCTTATTAAAGTGGCCTTGCTCATGAACTGCCTCTGTGTGATTCTGAAGAGGGAGCTCCTGGGTCTGGAGGTGAGGTCGGCAGCTGGGAGGCGGCGTGAAGAGGAGGTCCTGTCCCACCAGGTCTCACCCTGGGAGCTTGTTCCTTATTGTGAACAGCTGGAGTGAAGGGCTTAAATGGGTGAGCTGGGAGGGAGGGTTAAGAAGAGAGATGTGGGGGAGGAGGGCAGCAGGGAGCACTAACCAAGGACAGCAGAGAGGAGAGGAGAGGAGAGGAGAGGAGGCAGGAGAAGCCCCAGGCCTGAAGGACACTGAAATTGAGCTCTCACGAAAATATACCAGGAGCATCCGCTTGCTAGCCCTTGATCTCTGCGGCTTTGGTTTCTCCTTTTGCTGACTCCTCTTGTGTGTCTTGGAGTTCCCTGGCTCCTTCGAAAGGAAGAGAGATTAGCTTACCTTTAATTGCTCTGCTGGAAGCCTGCGCCTTGCTTGTTGCAGTATTTCATCATCTTTTGGCCCCACACCCTGGAAGTCAATGGCTTTCAAAGTCCTGGCCACAGAGAGGCTCCCTCTGTGGGGACTTTCTGGTGGCACCCATATTTCTTCCCCGGAAGAGACCCCAGGAGATCTTGCTGGGGGTTCTCACAGAGCACAGTGTGCACAAAGCATTATAATGCACAAAGCCCTAGGCTGTTGTTAGGTGGTGGGTGGGAAGGTTCAGGGATGGATTGGGGTGTGGTGAATGGGTGGATGGATGGATGAATGGAATGATACTTGAGTATCTGGAGTGGATGTGTGGTTGGATGAGTGGATTCATAGGTGGATAACTACATTGTGTGTGTGTTGGATGGATGGATGGATGGATGGATGGATAAATGGTGGATGAGTGTGAAATGGGTGCATAGGTAGACGGAAGGACAGATGGGTGGGTGAATGAGAGGGACATGTTTAAAGGTAAGTGGTAGGAAGACAAAAGGATGAGAGGTTGGGTGAACGTGGGAAGGTGGGCAGTGTGGGAGATGGGCAGTGTGGGAGAGGGGCAGTGTGGGAGATGGGCAGTGTGGGAGAGGGGCAGTGTGGGAGA